TTTAGAGTTTTATGAATACATTAGGAGACGACTGAACCCACGCTTCGGGACATTAGTCTGAGTGTAAAACCCGGACAACTGTTGGCTGTCGTCGGGTCTGTTGGCAGTGGAAAGGTATGTGTTTTTATACAGTGATTGAAGTTATAATTATACTAAATATTGTTAACAATACAATATATTTGTATTGTATGACATTATTATTATCAAAATTAGAGCTCTTTATTGATGGCAATACTAAATGAAATATCTGTAGTGTCGGGTCGAGTGGTAGTGAGGGGTCGGGTGTCGTACGCGCCGCAGGAGTCGTGGGCTTTCATAGCGAGTGTTCGACAGAATATTCTGTTTGGCTCTCAATATAATGAAGAGAAATACAATCGAGTGGTGAAGGCGTGCGCTTTGGACACAGATTTCCAACTCTTGCCGTTTGGGGACAAAACACTTGTGGGGGAGAGAGGGCTGGCATTGAGTGGCGGACAGAAGGCCCGCATAAGTCTGGCCCGGGCTCTGTACCACTCGGCAGACATCTACCTCTTGGACGACCCTTTGAGTGCTGTCGACACACATGTGGCCAAACATCTCTTCCAGAAGTATAGATTATTAATTACATGACAAATACTGGAGTGTTTAGTATGCCTGAGACGGGGGTGAATCTGAGGCTAAACCTAAACCTCCTTAAACACCGCCTGAAGACTGGAAAGGGCTCTCAAAGAGCTGTTAACACAAAGTTATAGTTTAAGACTTTTAATGATGTTTATAGTTATGAATACATTGTAAGACTAGTTGCCGTCTGCTATGAGAGCAGGGCTTATATAGTGGTCTGAGTTGTAAAATACAATGAGTAGTGAACTACATAGTGAACTTCATGGGAAGACTTACAGGTAATGTGTAGATATGATATGCCTTCCAATGGAAAGTTACAGGTATTGAATATAAATACAATGATATGACTTATGAGAGTCTAAGAGTTGGGAAATACATAGTGTTTGGGAATGAGTGTATGGCTTATCACTCCAATACTGTATATAACTTAATGCTTTTACTATTCATTAGATGTTGTATTGAATACCTGAAAGACAAAACCAGGATTATAGTGACCCATAGCATCCAGTTTCTCAAAGACGCGCATCAAATACTTGTGCTCAACGACGGCGAGTGTGTGGCCATCGGGTCCTACACTCAGCTCAAAGAGCGCGGCATTGATCTCATGGCATATCAAAGACAAACCGATGCACCAAATGATAGCAGAGATGTGAAAAGGAGGACATCTTTCACACCATCGATGGTCTCATCCCTTAGTGAGGAATCGGAAGTGACGGACGTTAGGGAACCGATAGAAGTGGACGAACAAGAAGTGAAGGCCGAACTCAAAATGATTGGATCCGTTGAGTCGAGTGTATATTTGGCGTACATTAAGGCCGGCGCCGGACCTCTGCTCGTTATTCTTACTTTTTTGTTTTTAATCGCTTTTCAAGTCCACCAACAGGGAAGTGATTATTGGCTAAGCGTATGGTCAGTACTAAAATATTAATTTAAATACATAAACAAGGTTCACACACGATAATAAGCGATAGCCACAATTCGGTACAACAATTCCAAATCCTTTGGCTCCAATTCAAACTTTCCATTGTCTAAGTATAGACATAGGATTAACATGGGATCCATGTTAAATCTCATGGGGTGGTGGAGAGATTTGAGTTGCCGCCCAATCCTATAGATCACATTATTCATACTTAATTGTGGTTTTAAAAAAAGTTGCAATTAAATTGAATTCATTATAAGAATATATTAGGTCTAATCAATTGAGCAAAAACCCCGAAGAGTTGGATCAAACATTTAACATAATAGTGTACACGAGTCTAATCATTGGTCTGTTTGTGTCGGCCCTGTTGTCCACCATTTGTTTCTACATAATGTGTATGAGATCTTCGGTTAATCTCTATAACCAAATATTCTTAGCGTTATTGCGATCACCGATACATCTGTTCGAGAGTTCGCCCATCGGTAAAATTACTAACACTATTTGCTATCAATTAAATTAAACATATTAATAGTTGTTTATATAATAATATATAAAAGTAAATTAATTTTATCTCAACCTTTAGGGCGAATACTTAATAGGTTTTCAAAAGACACTGGAATTGTGGATGAATTGCTGCCATCCGTTGTTTATGATTTCATTATTGTAACTTTATGGATAATAACTAATTTTGACAAAATTACGAATTAATATTCTATTGTTAATTATTTTATAGAATACGTGTTTTATTATCGGAAGTTTATTATTAAATTCAATCGTCAATTGGTTTCTAATATTTCCGGCAATACTTTTGTTGATATTAGTGTTTATTTGTCGCTATTTTTATATCAAAGCCGCACGGGATCTCAAACGTATGGAAGGGTTGTGTACGTGTTTAACATTAATTAATTTTATAAATTATTAATAAATTTAACTCTCACTTTCCAATAGCCCGGAGTCCGGTGTACTCTCACGTGAACACAACGCTGTGTGGGCTGACATCGATCCGTGCGTTCGGCGCACAGCATATGTTTGAGCGTCAGTTTGAAGTCCACCAAAACGACAACACCTCTACTTTTTTCCTATACATTTGCACTTCACGAGCACTCGGAGTCCTAACCGATACTATTTGTATCGTATATCTGAGTGCTGTTATCACATATATTATAACCAGTAGTGACGGTATGTTTGCAATTATAAAACATTTAAATTAGATTTAATTGTGTATATTATTAATAGGTATTCCCGTAGGAAATGCAGGACTTTTGTTAACATCGGGTAAAAATATATCAATTATATATTTTATATAATAGACTGTACGTTATAATATCCATATTACATATTATGACATCTTTATATAATACAGTGCAACCTCTCTTGGGGAAACTTCTCTTGGGGAAACTTCTCTTGGGGAAACTTCTCTTGGGGAAACTTCTCTTGGGGAAACACCTCCCCATAAGAAACGGATTTATAGAGATTAAGATGAAACTTTCACTCCCAATAAGAAACAAATATAATCATAAGCACATGATATGTAAAGTATTCAAAATATTTTCAAACCTAAGACTTTAAACAAACAAAAAACTCATTTTCATTTAAAGTTTCATTCAATACTGTAAGAGTTGTGATAAGCATTTTATTCATTTGATTAGTGGTTTCTTATAAAAGTGTTAATTATTATTTATTTAATTGTGTTATAAAATGTCTCAAAAACGACAATCGTATGATTTAAAGACTAAATATAATGTATTAAAAGACATTGAAAAAGGAGTTAAATATGAAGATATTGTGATTAAACAAAAACTAAATAACAAATCAAATGTTTGAACAATTGGACTAAATTAAGACTAAAGCATTTAATTGTCATTTTAATACAGCTAAACAAACTAACATTACTGATTATTTTCAATAATTGCTATTATTAATAAAATCTTTCAAAAATTAATTAAAAATTAGACATTTTTACT